CCGGCTTTTCCCGATCTGAACTTATGTTTGGAAGGAAATTAAGAGACAATCTTCCATCTACTTTGGTTGGAAATCCAGTGGAAAACAAGAATTTTCTTGAGAGGGAGAATAATTAAGTACCAGAATAAATACAAGATACAATTTGATAGACGACATGGAGCGAGTGGTTTAAGTGAATTAGAAGTTGGAAGCATGGTATGGATCACAGATCTACGTCGACACGGTAAGGTAGTCGGGAAATTGAACGAACCACGTTCCTACCTTGTGGAAACTGACAAGAGAACCATTCGCCGAAACAGGAAGTTCTTAGTTCCTGCACCGTACTACGTAGGAGATGGTATACTTTCAAACTGTTCATCCATGGTCCTTAATCGTCCATGCAACTCACGTGATCGTCCAGGAGCTGGCACAGTAACCCGTTACGGAAGGTCCATTAAGAAACCGAGGTGGTACTGAGGTTCATAAAGATGTGGACATCTTGAGGCGGGATGTTGTGTTAAGTCTGTTCTTGTTATCATATGATTTATTTGTGTTTAAATATGTTTTGTTGTCAGATGATTTTTGTAAACATTGGTTTAGTTTGGAAATAGAGTTTGTTGAAGCAAGATGTGTGAATAATATTCTTGTATAAGAAATAGAACAATTATGTTACAGTATAAGATTGTTTAGTTTGGCTGCTAGTGAAGGTTTTTGACGGGATAATTGATTTACAAGTCCCACAATAACTAAATAAACTAAAATTTTCAAGGTTACTTACCCCGTACTTCATGACGTAACAGTAACAAGGGTTGCAAAGCTGTTCCCCTGGCCTGAAGTTGACATCTCCCAAAAAACCACAGTTCCTGCATATTTTCTGTAGCCACATGAAACAGAAGTTAAGTCTGTAGAGAAAAATAATATAGGCTAGTGGAAGATATGACCTTTGAAATTAGTCTAGTCATTGAGTAGTGGAGGTAGTGGTGGAGGTGGAGGAAAGTTTTAACAACAACAAATCTGTTATCACATCTCCAAATTTCAAAAAGTTTAAGTACAAAACCCTCTCTCTTAAGCAACCTTCAGGACCCTAGATCAAATAACCTGCAAAGTCAATCAAAAGGGTATGAATGTAAACATGTTATTTGGAAAAGTCAGTTATTTTTTTATTTTCCTGCGTTGTCAATAGCAAAAGTAAATCTGCAGAACACAATTTTTTTACTAGCCCACTATGATTAGGACGGGAACAGAAGTCATAGGATAGCTTAGATTGCTAATCGCACTCACATTTACATTAAGAATAGGAAACTCTATGTACTTTTTATTGAAATATTAAATATGGTTACTATTTTTCCCAACACTAAGGTTATTAATTGTTTGTTAATAATTGCAATAATTGTTGGGATGACTGTACAAAACAACTGTATAAAATAAAGCAACAGTGTTGAGGGAAGGGTTCTAGATTACATTTGACACAATGTATACCTGACGGTGATTAATGACAATTAATAATCTGGTTTCTCTTTACCTGCTGATTTGGTCTGGTTGTGGTTGCTGTGGTGGTGATGTATTTTTTACTTTTTCGTATATCCACACGACGAATTTTATCACTCCGACAACCTTTAAAATAGGACAAAACTTTACAATCTTACACAATACCATTATAAGAGTAAGGTGCTAAAAATTGATGGATAACTCAAATACCTACGTTAGACTTACAGATAGGGGTCTCCATTCCGGGCCTTCAATCCAATCCTGTGATTTCGGAATTCGTCACAGCCGATCCCGGGATTATATTATTTTATGATTTTAACTATTTAGCCATTTTAAATGAGCGAGAAGCAACTAACCCTCATATTTGATTGTAGTGGGCAAAAACTCTAGTTATTAAATTAATCGTTCTAGGAGTGTGATGTATTAAATAAACTATTAAATATTGAAGCTATCGGCACACCCCAGCGTAAAAATGCCATTGTCTTCATCTGATCCTGATCCATAAATTAGGAAAATCTATAAAATAATTGTAAATGAGTTTAATGGATTTTATTAATATAAATTGATTATTCAAATATTGTGTTTGGACATTTATTGATAACACCTGACATTTTGACGCCTACCGTAGGCAAAACATTTCCTGGATTAAACATTTTCAACGTTAAAAATAAAAGGATGATATCTTAATTATAATAATTATCATTGAGCTCCAAGTTAGCTCCTTAACTGTTGGGTTTAATTTTGATCTTACCACCTCGGGTAAGAAATATTGAAGAAACCCAGAATTGGAACTCCAGTTATCATACGCCAATTTTGCACGACCTACGATTACCACGCCTACGAGAAGGAATAAAATAAATTTCATAATCTTTAATCAAATTTAAAGTTTGTTAGCAAAAAACAAGGATAAATTTGAACTTGCCCTACTTTCTTACCGGACCTCACCTCTTGAAACCGGCTTTTCCCGATCTGAACTTATGTTTGGAAGGAAATTAAGAGACAATCTTCCATCTACTTTGGTTGGAAATCCTGTGGAAAACAAGAATTTTCTTGAGAGGGAGAATAAGTACCAGAATAAATACAAGATACAATTTGATAGACGACATGGAGCGAGTGGTTTAAGTGAATTAGAAGTTGGAAGCATGGTATGGATCACAGATCTACGTCGACACGGTAAGGTAGTCGGGAAATTGAACGAACCACGTTCCTACCTTGTGGAAACTGACAAGAGAACCATTTGCCGAAAAAGGAAGTTCTTAGTTCCTGCACCGTACTACGGAGGAGATGGTATACTTACATAAGTTGAGGTTGAGGTGAATATTTGAGGTTATTGCACAATTTAACCAACAACAATGAAACAGCTGTTTTCTAAGACAGAGTAATAAAACTAAATGAGCTGAAGAATTCAGAGGTGCCAACCATTTTTTTCTACCTCGCACAGTTATTATTTTATAAGCATTCAAAACTGCACCATTCATTTATGAAAACCCTGTATGTTTTGTTGTCAGATGATTTTTGTAAACATTGGTTTAGTTTGGAAATAGAGTTTGTTGAAGCAAGATGTGTGAATAATATTCTTGTATAAGAAATAGAACAATTATGTTACAGTATAAGATTGTTTAGTTTGGCTGCTAGTGAAGGTTTTTGACGGGATAATTGATTTACAAGTCCCACAATAACTAAATAAACAAAAATTTTCAAGGTTACTTACCCCGTACTTCTTGGCGAAACAGTAACAAGGGTTGCAAAGTTTTTCCCCTTGCCTCCAGTTGGTATCCACCAATATCCCACAGTTTCTGCATATTTTCTGTAGTCACATGAAACAGAAGTTAAGTCTGTAGTGAAAAATAATATAGGCTAGTGGAAGATATGACCTTTGATATTAGTCTAGTCATTGAGTAGTGGAGGTAGTGGTGGAGGTGGTGGAGGTGGAGGAAAATTTTAACAACAAAAAATCAGTTATCACATCTCCAAAATTTAAAAAAGTTTAAGTACAAAACCCCCTCTCTTAAGCAACCTTCAGGACCCTATATCAAATAACCTGCAAAGTCAATCAAAGGGGTATGAATGTAAACATGTTATTTGGAAAACCTCAACCCATTTCTCGCTCCAGCAGCTGCTTCGAGGTACACAGGTAGCCATGTTCTTGGCAAGGCCACTGGATGGTTGGCGGGTGGTTGGCCGTAGGAAGTTGAGGGCTGGGAGTTGTCAGGTAGGGAGGAACGGGCAGGCTGAGGGGGATTGACAGGTTGAGAATGGGCTGGTGAATTTGCCGGAGGGGTGCGAATAGGGGGTGGGCTGTGGTGTGGGGGGGGGCAGGCTGTAGTGTTGGCGGGGTGAGGGTCGAGGTTGGGGAGAGGGGGGACCTGAGGAGTCTGAATCTGTCTCATCACCGTTTTCAAGTCGGAGCCTTGTGTCCGGCTGAGGGTAGTGTGATAAAATCACGGTGTTGGGGGTGTCAGGTGAGGGTAGCAACATCACTCCGGGTATAGTAAATTTTGATAGCCACTCAAGGATTAATGGGACTGGGACCTGAAGATTGTGCCTGCTGAAGGATCTGGGTCTGATCTGGGCTCTTACAAATGCGTATGAGTTTAGGAGTGCTCCGTCAATTTCCTCTATTAGGGAAACTTCAGCCCCAGTGTACTGATAGGGGCGAAGCCGGGTGTGTGTGGAGTTCCCATGGATGTTGAGAGGGGCAAGAAGTTAATTACTGTATCTGGAGTGCGTCATACGCAGAAAGATGTTAGCAAGGTCCCGTTTGAAATTTAAGCCCATATTATAGGTGAAAGAGGAAAAAAGTGCAGCAATTTGGTGTCGAAGAGGGTGATGGGGAAAGGGATGCCGTAAACGTACTCGACGTCATCAGAATGGGTTCGGATGTATATTGTGAGAAGGCGGAGGGCAGATGTGTTGCCGAGGCCAGTAATGCAAGCGGCGAATCGGTCTTTCCACAGTTTTCTCACGGGGTTCTCGTATGGGCAGCGGGGGTTGGGACAGCTGCCATGGGCAAGGTGGGTGCAGCGACAGGGTGAAGGGTCGCTGGGACGTGTGGCTAGGGCAAGTACCCCGCCTAGGGTACGAGACCCGGTCATTGAGTTGACCGGAACCCCGATGTGGTGTAGGTGGTCCGCCTTCCCATAATGTAAGCCTGGATGAGTGGATGTGTCGCAATGTAATCTGTTAGCAGATTCATGCGAGGACCTGTGTTTTGGAAAAAACAATTGTGTTAGAAATTTGTATGTTTATCGTTTATAGTATGTTTTTACAATTATGAAGTATCTAAATGCATGACTTGTAGTGGTTAAACTTGTTAGTGGTGTTATGTTGTTACTACTGGCTGGTGAAACCCTGGGTATAGGTGGATATGAATTGTATTTGGATCAGGAGTGGTACGGTGTAATTGGGATAGATTGGGGTTGGGCCGACAAAGACAGCTCTCAAGGGCTGTGTAGCGGGCTGGGCGGGAGACCTGACAATGCTGGAAGATCGGGAGGATCTTGTGGAAGTGGAGATGGGGGAGAATACGGGACTTATTGGACAGTAACGACGGGAACGGTGCGACGAGCGGTGGGGTGTGGTGAAACTGTAGTGATGGGAGTGACGGGTTGGCGTGGCATGGGAGTGTGAGTGAGAACGGCGGGAAGTATAGGAATCATGGGGGTCGGTGAATAAATTTCGTCGGGAAATACTGCTACGGGTGTAGACAACTTGGAGTTGGAGGGCGAGTGGGCCTGAAATTGGTGGGTGATTGGAAACGGTGTTTTGTGAAGGGCTAGTGAAGGGGGAATGGTTTGTGTCGAGCGTGTGGGAGTTGGATTCGGATCCGGTTTGAGATAGGATGGAATTGTTGAGGGAAGTTGATCGTGAAGCTGTTGTCTGGTGGCGACGGTGTTGTTGGAGGGCGAGTGGGCCTGAAGTTGGTGGTTGATTGGAAGCGGTGTTTTGTGAAGGGCTAGTGAAGGGGGAATGGTTTGTGTCGAGCGCGTGAGAGTAGGATTGGGAGACGGTTTGAGATGGGATGGAATTGTTGAGGGAAGTTGATCGTGAAGCTGTTGTCTGGTGGCGACGGTGTTGTTGGAGGGAGAGTGGGCCTGAAGTTGGTGGTTGATTGGAAACGGTGTTTTGTGAAGGGCTAGTGAAGGGGGAACGGTTTGTGTCGAGCTTGTGAGAGTAGGATTGGGAGACAGTTTGAGATGGGATGGAATTGTTGAGGGAAGTTGATCGTGAAGCTGTTGTCTGGTGGCGACGGTGTTGTTGGAGGGCGAGTGGGCCTGAAGTTGGTGGTTGATTGGAAGCGGTGTTTTGTGAAGGGCTAGTGAAGGGGGAATGGTTTGTGTCGAGCGCGTGAGAGTAGGATTGGGAGACGGTTTGAGATGGGATGGAATTGTTGAGGGAAGTTGATCGTGAAGCTGTTGTCTGGTGGCGACGGTGTTGTTGGAGGGAGAGTGGGCCTGAAGTTGGTGGTTGATTGGAAACGGTGTTTTGTGAAGGGCTAGTGAAGGGGGAACGGTTTGTGTCGAGCTTGTGAGAGTAGGATTGGGAGACAGTTTGAGATGGGATGGAATTGTTGAGGGAAGTTGATCGTGAAGCTGTTGTCTGGTGGCGACGATTCAACGCTGACCTACTGGGAAGACCACAAAAAATTCCAAATTCTTCACAATGGATGACTTATCGCCCAAAGTCGTTAGCGAGAATGTAATTTGTTAAGGCCACCGGGCCTACTAAGACCGACAATCGTGCCAAATTTCAACTTCCTAGCACTTCTAGAAGTTGTCTAGAATTTGTATCCCCTGTCAGTCAGTTACACATCGGGCTGTATAGTTATATAGATTTTAATTGTTTTTTTTTATTTAATCATCTTCCTTATAGTTCTTATACAACATAAGCAAAATACTAAATACAAATTATTATTGTAAGGAATTGTTGATAAAATTTTTAAAATGTTTACTATTAATACGCTTGTTTTAATTAAATAAAAAATGTTATTTAAAAGACACTAAAAATATAAAAAATATTTTATTTGAGTTTAATTAATATAAAGCTATAATTTTTTCCTAAAATATTATACAAAATTGATAAAAATAAGAAAAGGTTACGATTGAATTAAATAGTTATTGTTAATTTACATTATATTTCTTTTCATCTGTAATTAATGGAAGAATGAATTTTTATTTTAAAGTTCAATGTTACTTACTCATCAAATGAAAGTTTTCCCCAAACACTTGACTGCGACTGCTATTCAGTTATGGTTGGGTTAGGAACTTGGGTGGGAGATTGTTTGTATTTTTTTGGCCATTGGTTCAGACACGACAGCAATGGGATCGGCTCGATAAAAGTATACACTATTGGAATCACAGTAAGAAATATGGTGAAATGTTGAGTTTAGCTGGGTCTTGCATACTACACTAACTGGAGTGTGACATTATCAGTTTCACATGAGCAGGGACGTGAGTTACCTTTAAATGTCATAAGGGAATAGACAAAAATATCATTATTTGTCAAATTATCATTATATCATCAAATATCAAATATATCAAATAAAAAACTTATATAGTGACATATCTTACCTGGACAAACCACTTGATGGTTTGGAAGTGGGAACCAAGATTAGTGTAAAGTACTTGTTTCAACGCATTTTTATCCAAACCCGGATAGTCTAAAAACAGAAGAGGCACCTAGTACTTTGTACTTCTCCTGTCCAACCTCTATGATTCTGTTAGCCTCTGTATGGTATAGAGGGCTACACTAAGAGGGTTGTCTTGAGGGTTTTGCGTCCTACACAAGGCTAGCACAACTGGCTTCCTTGCCAGTTCTGCTGCCATCGCTACCTGCACCATCATCTCCAATGTGGTTGAAAGAGATCCAACTAGATATAATGTAGTAATTTGAAAGCTCAGCGAATCTCAGCAGGTATACTGTTATTTCGAGTCCTTTTGCCAGAAGGTCGTTCCCTTTAGACAAGGCATAGATGTTAAGGAACAAGAGTCGTCTTACTTGGAAGTAGATTTTCACATCACTATATGTGTGCTCCGCCACTGATCTTGGTATTGTTAGGTAAATCATCTAATATCGGATCATCTTTAGACAAAACCCAATGGAGCGCTGTAGGTCTGTCTCCTACGTTTCACCCAGAAGGTGTATTTGTTCGATCCGAGTTGTTTCCCGAGCATGTTCGAGTAGAGAGAGATAGCATACTTGTAATGGGCTGCTATTGCATCTTCATACATTGTCAGATCATTTACTTCCGCCTCCACTAGTTCCTCGTAGAAGAATAGAAAATCAGTCATGCTTACCTCTCTAACTGTGACTCCACAATCCTCTTACTCCATCAAGAGTGTTTTACTGATGGCCGGATTTATCAAATTCGATAAACTACAATATATGGACAAGCATGGATAATTCTCTGTTCCGTCAAAACATATTAAATTCAATAGTTATTTAATGAGGATTTCCTTCCCTTCTTCTCAATTTTCATGCTTTATCAGATATAGGTCATGCTTGACAAACTTTGGCTTATTTCAAATCTCGATATCCTGACTGAGATATGGGTCGGACAGAGGAAGCCTTTTTCCGTATAGAAGTTAGCATTCTTGTACTTTGGGTCGTATCTAGAGACCTGACTGTAGCAGTCCGAGTCTGTGGAATTGGAGGTGCCTGAATTCCTGACATCTTTTTCAAGATTTTGTATTTTAATTCTAGATAATAGTATTTCTGTTTTTATAGTATAACTTCTATAGTGATACTTCGATTATTTTAAGAGATCAATTCAGTTAGTTATATAAAGTTTATATATTCTATATTACTGGAGTATCTACAACAATTTAAAACCAGACTACAAATTCTACATCAGACGTCACGAAATGCACAGCCTATCCGATCTCATCAAAAAGGTAGAAGAGTACGAAGCTGTGTTAAGAGACAGAACGACATATCGCCCACTACCTCCTCCAGTGCAAGTGTTGACCCCAGAAACTTCTTATCGAGGAAAAGGAAGACGCCGCTCTCACTGGAATGAGCCTATCTACCTACTTAATTTCTCAATAATCAAATAACATTATTTGTCAAATTACCATTATATCATCAAATATCAAATATATCAAATAAAAAACTTATATGGTGACATATCTTACCTGGACAAACCACTCAATGGTTTGGAAGTGGGAACCAAGATTAGTGTAAAGTACTTTTTTCAATGCCTTTTTATCCAAACCCGGATAGTCTAAAAACAGAAGAGGCACCTAGTACTTTGTACTTCTCCTGTCCAACCTCTGAGATTCTGTTAGCCTCTGTATGGTATAGAGGGCTACACTAAGAGGGTTTTCTTGAGGGTTGTGCGTCCTACACAAGTCTAGCACAACTACCTTGTCAGTTTTGTCCTTGCCAGTTCTGCTGCCATCTCTACCTGCACCATCATCTCCAATGTGGTTGAAACACTGTTGTAAGCAACTTTGCTGCTTCTTGACCCTCCATAAAGTTGATTTTCTGTCTCATTTTTTCACATCGTGCGGTGACGTCCCTGATTTCAGCATTACAGCGCACAAGTTCTTGACGATTTTTAGCAGTCTCCAATCGTTGTGGTTTCAGCAGACTGTTGAATTTGGTCATTATCGTGGCGTGAGACTCTCGCAATAGCTGCAACTCTGTTTCATGTTGTTGTTCAAGTAACTTCAGCTCGTATTGCCTGTTCTTTAGCTTTGCATCTGATTCCGTTGATAAAACAAGGAGTTTGTCGTGCTTCTCCTGCAGGGATGCCAATTTCTCAATAATCAAATAACATTATTTGTCAAATTGCCATTATATCATCAAATATCAAAAATATAAAATAAAAACCTTATATAGTGACATATCTTACCTGGACAAACCACTCAATGGTTTGGAAGTGGGAACCAAGATTAGAGTAAAGTACTTGTTTCAATGCCTTTTTATCCAAATATATATATTTTTTACACTATACGGACGAATAATGTAAAAATAAAACGAAAACATCCAATAAAATTCACAGTAGGCTACACATAATTATAACGTTGGTGTCCTGACATCATTAAACGAATCGTCCACACATATCCTTTATATCAATTTCACTGCATCAATTGCTAAATAAATAAGTGTAAACAAAAAAAAAAAAAAAAAAAACATATAGTTTGTTTTGGTAAACAGCTGAGTCAATAAAAATAAAATAATATTCATTTGAACAAAAGAACTGGTCACATGTTGAAGGAATTTAAAACTTAAAACACGCTAGTAAAGCTAGTGACTTAATTAATGGTCTATGTTTACTATCCATTCCGTTAGTTATAATATCCTTAATAATTAAACCACCCTCATTGAATAAGGTTAAGATGGCTTACAATAGTAGTTAACGAACCTGGCGAGTGCCTTTAAAACCTCATCTGGTGCCTTACAGGCTAAATACGCGATTTGCGGTACACCGCTTTAATTACGATCGTTTTTTAATCGGAGCTCGGTCCTTGGTCGAAAACTCGACCTAAAGTATGTATTATTTATTATTCATATTTTGTGCTTATTTTGAGTCTATTTTAATTTATAAAGGGATTCTGCACATCTACAGGAAAATATCTTTCACTTGGTGCCAATCGCTTGTAATTTGTTCTAGTAGTATAGTGTAAAGAAAAATAAAAGTTCTTTACTTATATTCAAAATATTCTCTTTACTTAATTGATCATTCCATCAACCAAAATCACCTCACACCTTTATGTAATGCAATTTGGCTATTCCATACAGGTGTGAGTGTTATAAAAAGTTGCCCCTGGTAGGGTTTGAAAAGGTGAGATTTAATTTATTTAATCAGACTACTGAGGACCAATCACAGAGCCGGCAGTGGAAGTAAGATGTTGTATTGAGCCCTGGTAATTGTGTATCCCAGAAGTCCGATTTATGGACCGTGAGAGGTCTGATATGTCCTCCTGAAAGTACCTTCAATGATCTTAAATATAACACTTCTTAAGATGTAATAAAAAGTATACCAAACACTCTGAATGCAAAATACACTCTTTGTTGAAATTCTGTTAAAACATGGCTATGACTCTGTATTATTGAACGATAATGCCAAACACTGATTGAACTAATATGTAATAAATTATGTATTGATTGACTATTTAATGATATTGTATTTTATTGCAATTGGTCGGTTAAGCCGATTACCTTGACAAGATTAACAAAGGAGAATTAATAAAATTGTTGAGAGAATAAGCTTTGTGTATTGTCACTTTAAATATTTACAAATATTACAATAATCAATAATAATATTCAAGTTTCTGCTATAATTACACTTCAATTGCATAGGGGAGAGTATTGATTGTGGTTTTTGACTTTCTTTCCTGAGATACTGACAGCAGAGCCTCGGGAACCTAGGTTTGATTTATTTAATCTGTTTTTAGGCTATCAGGCTTCCCAAATTTGTGTATTTATTAACAACTGGCCAGTTGATCTTAATATGCAAAGGGGCTATTCGTAGTCCTGTGTACAGCACACTTTGTTGCTCAGTGGCAAACTGGGCCAAATCGACTACTGAGTCGATTGTTTAATTTTGGTTAATAAAATTACTTTTATGGCGTTAATGTAAGCCTACCCTTATAGCCTGTATTGAAACCTACCCTTCAACCGGGACAATGCTCTGATTAAAACCTGAATTTGTACACAATCAAATACTCTCAGAGATTTCTTTATGTATTTTAGAAGTGATTTTAAACCCAAATATTTAAGCAAGAACAAATTGTAACAGTTTTACGTGACAGACAGCTGATATCCTAACGATATAAATTGAAGTTAAGTACAAAATTACAATGTGAAATTTACTGGTATAAAAATTTACCCAAATTATTCATATAATAATACCTACAAATGTATCACAGTATGTATTTTAAAATAAGTAAATGGCAATAACTTTAAAGCAATGTGACTGGATTACACACTAGGACATGAAACCTGCAAGAAACATGATCAAACAAATATGAATGTGGACAGATTGGCTTCTTCTAATGATATAAATACAATTTACACAAAACATTTACTTACATACACAGAAGACAATTTTGACGACACATAAACATATAATTACGACACTGTACTTGGGGTAGGCTCTACGAAAATGGTCAAATTTGACGAATTTTGCCGGTCGACGTCGAACTTAAAGACTCGATTTATTTATTCAATTCGTAATTTAGCAAACGCTGTTTCACGGTTTAAATACCAATGCACTCCGGAAATCGAACAATTATCGAACAAATACACCTCATTAAACTCATAGAACTTATGTTTGGAAGGAAATTAAGAGACAATCTTCCATCTACTTTGGTTGGAAATCCAGTGGAAAACAAGAATTTTCTTGAGAGGGAGAATAATTAAGTACCAGAATAAATACAAGATACAATTTGATAGACGACATGGAGCGAGTGGTTTAAGTGAATTAGAAGTTGGAAGCATGGTATGGATCACAGATCTACGTCGACACGGTAAGGTAGTCGGGAAATTGAACGAACCACGTTCCTACCTTGTGGAAACTGACAAGAGAACCATTCGCCGAAACAGGAAGTTCTTAGTTCCTGCACCGTACTACGTAGGAGATGGTATACTTTCAAACTGTTCATCCATGGTCCTTAATCGTCCATGCAACTCACGTGATCGTCCAGGAGCTGGCACAGTAACCCGTTACGGAAGGTCCATTAAGAAACCGAGGTGGTACTGAGGTTCATAAAGATGTGGACATCTTGAGGCGGGATGTTGTGTTAAGTCTGTTCTTGTTATCATATGATTTATTTGTGTTTAAATATGTTTTGTTGTCAGATGATTTTTGTAAACATTGGTTTAGTTTGGAAATAGAGTTTGTTGAAGCAAGATGTGTGAATAATATTCTTGTATAAGAAATAGAACAATTATGTTACAGTATAAGATTGTTTAGTTTGGCTGCTAGTGAAGGTTTTTGACGGGATAATTGATTTACAAGTCCCACAATAACTAAATAAACTAAAATTTTCAAGGTTACTTACCCCGTACTTCATGACGTAACAGTAACAAGGGTTGCAAAGCTGTTCCCCTGGCCTGAAGTTGACATCTCCCAAAAAACCACAGTTCCTGCATATTTTCTGTAGCCACATGAAACAGAAGTTAAGTCTGTAGAGAAAAATAATATAGGCTAGTGGAAGATATGACCTTTGAAATTAGTCTAGTCATTGAGTAGTGGAGGTAGTGGTGGAGGTGGAGGAAAGTTTTAACAACAACAAATCTGTTATCACATCTCCAAATTTCAAAAAGTTTAAGTACAAAACCC